CGGGGTCCACGCGGGGCCGGGGCGCCCCCGGGCCATGTGGGGACCGCCGGGCACTGTCCGCTGGGCCTGAGGGGCCGGGGTGGACGATGGTGTTTCACCAGTGGCCGAGCCCTGCGCTCTTGTCACCGGGAACTGTGTTGCGTGTCCTGCGGGGATGTGTGCAGTGGCAGTTCTGCACCGGACAGAGGCTGGGCGTTCACCTGCTCCTCACCTGCCTCAGGTGTGCGCCTCGCTCGGCCCGTCCGGCCCGGGAGGCGGAGCCTGGCGGGGCGCGCCCTTCCTCTTCCTGGGCAGGTGTCCGCAGCTGCAGGGGCGCCGGGCGGACCAGGCTGGAGGGCACGAGTGAGTACAGGTGTCCGGCAGGTGTGAGCGCCGCCGCCGAGGCCCCCTGGAGTGGGGCGGGGTGCGAGGGTGACGTGACCGCCCCGTCCCCTTGGAAGGCTCGCTGCAGACGGTAGGTCGCCGGTGGAAGAGGCCAGAGAACGAGGCCGGGTTTCCTCCGCTGCGCACCTGTGCAGTCAGGCCGTTCCGCAGGTCGTCAGAGCTGTCCCGCCCGCGGTGCTTTGATCCAAGTCTAGCCACAGTCGTTTAATTCATAGAAAAGCTCTTCCTAAGTTTAGGGTCTTAACGATCCTACTTCGTTTTAAGTTTTTTTGAGTATCTAATATTTGAAAAGCCACGTACCAGCTACTCTCTTTTCATTCCAAATTGTTTGAATAAGCGGCATTCCAAAGCTTCGTGTCTGGTACGTGTTTGGAATGTGCTGGAAGCCCCGCGGCGGGAGTCGGGAGGACGCCTCCTCGGCTGTGACAGGTCGCAGGTGGGAGAGAGCGGGACAGGGACGCCACCAGGCCGGACCGCGCTGTGCATCTCGTGGCTGTGATAGTTGTTGTGTTTCAATTTAAAGAAATGAAATGCTTTGAGTCGGTTGATGAAAGTAAGGAAATGGGATTCACGCGGGTGGCTAAAAAGTGTGTCACGGTCACTTCGTTTTAACACGCATTTGAGCATAATTCAGGCCGAGTTGGAAAGAATGACACGAAGGTGCGATCCCTGCCCACCGGGAGAGGAGTTTTCAGTCTGTCTTCTGCTTGCAGAATATTCGAGTCCTCCAGTCTTGTTCTCACGGGTGTTTTTATTGAGACATGGGGAAATTCCTGAAATAATAACGAGTTAGTCAGAAAATCTGTGCACACGCAGTTCGGGGAAATCACAGGTCTCTAGATTAAAATGCTGTTTACCCCACTGTGCTGGCCTGTTATTGAAAAACCTGTGCAGCGACTGCTTACAAATTACTATGTTGGATGTTAAAGTAATCAGAATAAGTAATAACCTCCATCCTGTTTGTCATGTCTGAGTTAAGAAGAATTGGTTATTTGGTTCACTATCACTAATGTTCTATTTAAACAAAATTTCTGTAAGATGAGTGAATACTACCCCTCATCTTTTGTAAGATTTTAAAAATGATTTAACAAAGTCTTTGCTCGTCAAGAGTGACTTGATACTTTTATTCTGTTTAGGAAATCTTTATTCTCGGGAGATTTCTCACTGTTTAGAAATAGGGATTTGGTATTTCAAAATAAAAGAAAGTTGATACGGGTCAAAGGGAAATATTGTTTATTCACTGACCCGACTTACTAGCAGCCACAGAAGTCCTTGTACACATCGGCTTACTTGCACATGGCATCACTATAAGACGTAATTTTCTGCAATTTAAGACCTAAGCACTTTGACTTTTTAAAACTTTCTTTGGGAAGAGTCCATTTTTTTGCAGTGAACAATCAGGCCAGAGTGGTGTGTGTGGTCCTGCCCTGAGCCAAGAGTGTGCTTCAGCTGGAGAACAGGTGGGGAAGGTAGGAGTCAGGCTTCCTCGCAGTGAACAATCAGGCCAGAGTGGTGTGTGTGGTCCTGTCCTGAGCCAAGAGTGTGCTTCAGCTGGAGAACAGGTGGGGAAGGTAGGAGTCAGGCTTCCTCATCCAGAAGGGAGCCCCTCATCACTCCTGCTCTGTCCCCATCCACAGCCTGGGGTCAAAGGGATGAGAGAGAAGCATAGGCCACACCGATACTTGGCGTTCAGATGGTCAGTCTGGTGTAAAGGGTGGATTGGGGAGGTTACTGATCTGACCAGGGATACAAGTTTTGATTTCTAGAACTCACGAGCTTTGTCTTCAGAAGACAAAGGAAGGAGTTAAACCAAAGCCACAGAAAGATAGGAATTGGTTTAAAACACAAAGGCTGTAGTTGTCAGGCAGCGGTGTTCAAAATTTTACCTTGTTAATAAAGGTTGTGAGCTCAAGGCAGAGTTCCAAAGCCTCTTTACAGATTAGATAGTTTCTCTTATATTGGCTAAAATTGAATTACTTGTAGCAGCATTCTAGTTTCTTAGATCTTGGATGAGATTTCATCAGTTTAGTGAGTTAACCTCCATTTCATGTAAATCATAAGGCTTAATAATTTGATTAATATGTAATTAATTAAAATTTGGAAAACCATTTTTAAGCTTACTTTTCCTATAGGTGTCCCTATCATGATTTAGAGTCCACTGAGTAAAATAATGTAATGAGTGCTGTGGACGGAAGGAAAGTCTGGGAACCCTGAACTCTGGTAACGAGGTGGCGGGAGGGGCTCTGGGTCTTCCTTGCTTTCCTTCCTGACCCTTGGTGGAGGTCTGTGCTGGACACAGCAGCCAGCTTTTTCACCCTTTGTGGCAGTTTACTCCAAGTAGGATTCTAGTGTCACCGTGTGCCTCCAGTAACCCTAGCCTTGGGATTATTGGCCTATTTATCAATATGTAAAATATTTCCATATCTTAAGCTCATTTGAGCTCTTGAGTTTACCAAGGTAAAAATTTTCTTCCCAGTATTTTATAAACCTTTCCTATTTTTTTTTAGAAATTGTCTTAGTATGGACAATTTCAAATATTGTAATTGCTTTTTAAAGAAAACATTACATCTAAGAGTTCCTTAACTTGAGGTTTGTCAGCCATACTTCTCCTAGGAAAAAACTCAAATGTTTATGGAGAATTTGCTCGGCCTGGGAATTCAGGAGACGTAAGACTCTTATGAATGTTCACATGCTAACCGTGATTTAAAGTTTAACAGGCTTATTAGTAATGACCTATATCTTCATAACTTTAGCAGCATAATAAAGTATGACTCAACACCCTGATCAGATCATGCTCTGTATAACTTACAGCACAGCAGACGAAATCAGGGCAGTCTAGGATTTGATGCTGAGGACAGGAATTGAAGCTAATATCTAAGTTTTTCATTTAAATATTTTTTGTTCTGACAAAGAAATTTATTGTATATCTTTATGACGTGGCAATATAATTTTATCAGAAGTTTAACAGAATCTGTAATATTTTTTGTAGTTTGACTGACACACTGAAGATGTCCTTACTGTGTCCAGCCTTGTCCACAGCTAGTATACAGTGAGACAGGACTGGTTCCAGGAAGAGTACTGTAGTCTGCAGGCAAGCAGGATGCATCTGACTCCAGAGTCCAGTACCTCTCCTTCCGTGTTTACACAACAGGCCATGACCTGACATTCCCCTATGGCAGGATATTGCGATAGCAACTTTCAACTGTGGCATTTGCTTATTTGATTGGTCTAATACTGCTTGGCTGGGAGAGTTCAAAGTCGAAAGGCTTTGGGGAGTTAACATTTATGTATTATTTCCTGTACTTTAGTTGCATGTGTTAGAAAATCTGTTCTAAATTGGCTTTAACAGAAAAGGATTATACTGGTCCATGGGACTGAAAAGTCCAGAGCTGTTCCTACTTCAGTCGAGGCACAGCCAAGCCCAGGCTCTGTCCCCACCTCTTGTGCGGCATTGCTCTCAGACTCTCCCGGTGTAGAGTCAAAATCCTGCAGCAAGTCCAAATGGAAGTGCCTTGGAAAAGGTCATTCTGGAAGCTCCTACAAAAGTCTCTGATTAGGTGCTGGTGTTGGACCAACTTTGGTTTTGAACTTCTGCTGTGGCACAAGGAGAATTATCCTAATATTGCAGATTTGGGCCACCTGCTCCTCTTCAGGTGCCACAGCATCAATGGAAGCAAACTGTGCTGCTTCCAAAATAAAGTAAATTCAAAAGCAAAAAGAACAAATTTCCACTACAATTAACTAATTAAGATGTATTGAGCATCTAGATGTATGACATATGTAATATGATATATAGATGTACATATAGATGTATGATATATGTGTTCACCTAAAAGATACTGAGGCTGAACATATGACCATGGAGTTTGTTGAGTCACTGTGATGACTGCAGCTGGAAAAATGCACAGGTCAGATTGCCCTGAAAAATGCACTCTGAAGGGGCCAGCAGAACTCAACATTTTATAATCACGTGAAGAGGGAGAATCAAAAGAGAGGAGTTCAGACCCCTAATCATTACATCAGTTTTTCTATTGGCTAGTACAGAGAGAGAGAGAGAGAGAGATTTTGGATTGTTACTAGGTTACATCTTACATGCAGGAATTTAGGATAAGGGTTATAAGAAGTATTCTAGGTTCTTTTATTACTTTTGGTGCCAGCATGTCTGGCTTCTAGAACTGTCTTATGATAATGTTTTCCAGGGCATGTGGACAGTCTGCT